CTAGGCCTGTGTGTATGGCCTTCAATTGAAGCTGCTTCTGCTCCGCCACTCTGCCATTGGACTCTTGATAGTCGTCTCCCCACACGCTGCTGCTGGGGGGACTTTTTAACATAGGCCTCTGTATGGCCTTTAATTGAAGCTGCTTACGCTCCGCCACTCTGCCATGGGCCCCTGTACCGCCTCCTCATGCTGCTGCCAGGCCCGTAATCTGCCATGGGCCCCCGTACCGACTCCTCATGCTGCTGCCAGGCCCGTAATCTGTCATGGGCCCCAGTACCGCCTCCTCATGCTGCTGCCAGGTCCAGAGTGTGTCATGGGTCCCTGTACGGCCTCCCATTGCTGCTGTCTCCATCGCCACACTCTGCCATGTGCCACTTTCAGGTCTCCTCACACTGCTGGTGGGTTTCCATTTTGTCATAGGGTGCTGTATGGCCCTCCCATTGCTGCTGCCTCCACCGCCACACTGTGGCTCCACACTCTGGTTTTGGCCCCGTGACTGCCCAAATGAGTGAAGTGTGCGGTGATTCTAAGATCGACGGCACTCATCTGCATGTCATACTGACTGACGGTATTATTTCTCTTCCCCAGCAGACTCCAAGGGCATTTAAATTAAAAGTACAGTGTTCTGCACTAATATAAAGGCTCTCTGAAGCCTAGAAACACCCCTTTTTATAAGTTAAATTCGCAGCGAATATATTCGGCTCGAAGCGAATTTATTCGGCGAATTCGGCGAATCAGCCGAACCGAATTTTTGAACAATTCGCTCATCTCTAATTATAACAAAGTGGAAGCAACTGGGAACAACAGAAACTCAGCCACAAAGTGGTAGGCCACGTAAAATGACAGAGTTGGGTCAGCACATGCTGAAGCGCGGAGTGTGCAGAAGTCGCCAACTGTTTGCAGAGTCAACAGCTGAAGACCTTCAAACTTCATGTGGCTCTCAGATTATCACAACAACAGTGCGTAGAGAGCTTCATGGAATGGTTTTTTCATGGCCGAGCAGCTGCATCCAAGCCTTACATCACCAAGTGCAATGCAAAGCGTCGGATGCAGTGGTGTAAAGCACGCCATCACTTGACTCTAGAGCAGTGGAGACCTGTTCTCTGGAGTGATGAATCATGCTTCTCTGTCTGGCAATCTGATGGACGTGTCTGGTTTTGGCTGTTGCCAGGAGAACAATACTTGCCTGACTGCATTGTGCCAAGTGTAAAGTTTGGTGGAGGGGGGATTATGGTGTGGGGTTGTTTTTCAGGCGTTGGGCTTGGCCCCTTATTTCCAGAGAATGGAACTCTTAAGGCATCAGCGTACAAGCCATTTTGGACAATTACATTCTCCCAACTTTGTGGGAACAGTGTGGGGATGGCCCTTCCTGTTCCAACATGACTGCACACCAGTGCACAAAGCAAGGTTCATAAAGACATAGATGAGTGAGTTTTGGGTGGAGGAACTTGACTGACCTGCACAGAGTCCTGACCTCAACCCGACAGAACACCTTTGAGATGAATTAGAGCGGAGACTGTGAGCCAGGCCTTCTCGTCTGACATCAGTGCCAGACCTCACAAATGCGCTTCTGGAAGAATGGTAAAACATTCCCATAGACACACTCCCAAACCTTGTGGATAGCCTTCCTGGAAGAGTTGAAGCTGTTATAGCTGCAGAGGGTGGGCCAACTCAATATTGAACCCTACGGACTAAGACTACGATGCCATTAAAGTTCCTGTGTGTGTAAAGGCAGGCATCTCAATACTATTGGCAATATAGTGTACAGTATGTGAGGATTGATGTCCAGGGTTACTCTATCTGTGGAGTGATTAGGTTAAAGTATATTTACCTCTAATCCATACTCTCAATAAGATTTTACTTACCTTTTCTTGCGACTTTTATTTACTTTTAGGCCTCATGCAAAATGGACATTTTAATGCTGCTTTTAGGGGCACCAAGTGTTTTTTTCTGCGTCTGAATGCCAATGCATGTTAGCCTATGTGTCTATGCATTTAGAGGAGTTTACAAACAGGAAGAAAACCCACTGCCAGTATGTCCAGAAGCAGAAAAAATGCTTGGCGTGTGCAAACGTGTAAATGCATGTAAACGCACATTAACGCTAGGCACGTTTAGCGCTTGAGTATTAATTAATTTCAGTGGCCAGAATAAATTATTATTCTGGTCAATGAAATGAATTAATGCCCACGAATTTGACACACCTAACCATGTCTAAACGCATTATGCATGTAAAGTGTTTTTCTGGCAAAGTGTTGCTGCCAGGAGGAAAGCCATCTAGGAGATGGCCCAATGTCTAGCGTGCATGAGGCCTTACAGTTACTTTTTCTGGACTCACATTCAAAACCACTGTTGTGAATATGTGTGTATATATAGCCTAATATTATTAAAGGATAAGTTAACCTTTTGACCAAACATAATAAATGCACATGTATTTTCCAGGTAAAAAAATGTGCATTTATTATTATTGGTTGCAGGAGCCTTTAAAGCATTGCACCAGTGACCAGAAGATTATACAGCGACCAGAAGATCATACAGGATGTACAGGCAAGCAGATATACTGACCAGAAGATTCAATGAACTGTCACAGCACTCCACAGCGTGGTAGTTCATTGAGAACTACAACCCGACAGCCACTAAGACTGTTGGAACTTGTAGTTAATTAGTTCCCAGAACACTGTGAATGAATGATGCGGCTGTGTGGGGGGAGCCCCGCATGGCCACGCTGTTTTTAAAAAGTGGCAGTTTTGAACGCGGAACTTCTCCCTGTACTGCTGTCACAGGGAGGTGGGGGGGGGGGGGTAAATTGGCATCCGTTGCAGCATTGAGAACATGTTACATGATCCTCCCTAAAAACGGGTGGAACATGTAACATGTTTCCAAAGGTGAACTTATCCTTTAAGTCAGGCATGTCCAAACTATGGCCCTCCAGGTGTTGAGGAACTGCAAGTCCCATGAGGCCTTGCGAGACTCTGACATCCACAGGCAAGACACTCAGAGGCATGATGGGACTTGTAGTACATCAACAGCTGGAGGGCCATGGTTTTGACATCCCTGCTTTAAGCCATCTATGGAGTAGGTCTTCAGACCCTATGAGCATGTATAGCCATTAAGGTTATGATGAGAAGGAACTGAAGGAATCAAAAAGCCTTCCAACAAAATCAATACATAGCACAATAGAGCCTTCTCAGAATAGAAGATATTCACATATCTCATTCTATCATATATCCCAAAAACAAGAGGATTAGTCCTCATTTTAGGACAGTGGGCACAGCCATGTATAGAATTCCTATGGGAGATTTATGATTTCTCTAGTCCCTTCTCCTTAACCTCATTTATTCGTAAAAAACAAAAATAAAAAGACTTGGTAATCTTAATTTCTGCTGTAGTCTGCTTGGTGGTAGAGAACTTAGAGAACAGAATGTTCATATACACTGTTCTAAATAGATTTAAATAAAACTACTGTTGATAAGACTAATGATCTATAGACTTTTTTAGCCTCCATATGTCATGTCAAGCACATTTCTTACCTACTATTTTAGATTATTGCTTGTATGAGACTGAATGTTATCTGGTTATAGACTGAACTGCTGGAATCTAACAAGTATATTTTTTGAAAATGGTTATCCGATCTTAAATAAGTGGTAATGTTTTACAAAATATCTAAAGTTCCAAAACCTCTCCCTGAATGGGAACAGGCATCGCAGTCAGACTGCCGTCAACATTTCAGCATGCTTTTAAACATAGGTCTATAATTATTTAAGTAGACTACTGATTAATACTTTTGTTTACAGTTCAGTGCCATTTCATTTCATAGAAATGTTCTCTTTTGGTTCAGTGATATTTATCAATGTGAAGCACATAGCATAAGCATAATTTTGCTTACCAATAAAATAATGTTTTTTTTTTCTATTTATATTCAGAAGGTACAATATATACAGTATATCAAACACATAATAATATCATTATTTTTTAAATATTTGTCATTTATACAGCTAAAGCTGACATTTTGTTATAAAGACAGAAATAATGTACATCCACTCTATCTTATGTGTCGATAGGCATTTGTAAAATTGATACTTGGCAGAGGCTCCCATCCACCTTCCCTCACAAAATATTTAATATGCGCAGTCTTGCACACAGCAATGAGTTCCAATAATTATTTAGTACAAAAAAGTCTTATACAGTTTGCTAACAGATTTTGCCTTAGTACAGCTCTACTCATAGCTTTGATTAAAGTGCTACTAAACCCATGACCCTGTATTCACTATGTCTGGTCCGCCAAAGTACACAGAACATGGAAATGAAATTATTTTTAATATAAATTGCTAAATACCTTTTCTCATCAGCAGTAAATACACTATATTGCCAAAAGCATTGGGACGCCTGCCTTTACACGTACATGAACTTTAAAGGCACCCCAGTCTTAGTCCGTATTGATCTGGCTCACCCTTTGCAGCTACAACAGCTTCTACTTTTCTGGGAAGGCTGTCCACAAGGTTTAGGAGTGTGTCTATGGGAATGTTTTGACCACTGATGTTGGACAAGAAGGCCTGACTCGTAGTCTCCACTCTACTTCATCCCAAAGGTGTTCTTTCAGGTTGAGGTAAGGACTCTGTGCAGGCAGTCAAGTTCCTCCACCCAAAACTCGCTCATCCATCCTTTCATCTTTATGGACCTTGCTTTGTGTACTGGTGCGCAGTCACGTTGGAACAGGAATGGGCCATCCCCAAATTGTTCCCACAAATTTGGGAGCATGAAATTGTCCAAAATGTCTTGCTATGCTGACACCTTAAGAGTTCCCTTCACTGGAACTAGAGGTCCAAGTCCAACCCCTGAAAAACAACCACACACCATAATCCCCCCTCCAACAATCTTTACACTTGGCACAAAGCAGTCAGGAAAATACCGTTCTCTTGGCAACTGCCAAACCCAGACACGTCCATCAGATTGCCAGACAGAGAAGCATGATTTTTCACTCCAGAGAACACGTCTCCACTACTCTTGAGTCCAGTGGCAGCATGCTTTACACCACTGCACCGACACTTTGTATTGCACTTTGTGATGTAAGGCTTGGATGCAGCTGCTCAGCCATGGAAACCCATTCCATGAAGCTGTTGTGCTAACCTGAAAGCCAAATGCAGTTTGGAAGGTCTTTAGCTATTGACTCTGCAGACAGTTTGGCGACTTCTGCGCACTGTGTGCTTCAGCATGCGCTGACCCTGCTCTTTCATTTTTTTACTGTTGCTGTTTTTGTTGTTCCCAGTTGCTTCCACTTTGTTATAATACCACTAACAGTTGACTGTGGAATATTTAGTAGCAAGGAAATTTCATGGATGGATTTATTGCACAGGTGGCAACCTATCACAGTACCACGCTTGAATTCACTGAGCTCCTGAGAGCGACGCATTCTTTCACAAATGTTTGTAGAAGCAGTCTGCATGCCTAGGTGCTTTATTTTCTGCACCCGTGGCCACGGAGGTGATTAGAACACCTGGATCCAGTGATTTGGAGATGTGTCCTAATACTATTGGCAATATAGTGTAGCAGTCTTGTGACTTCTATCAGTGTCTGGCTGAGCATTGGTTAAAGCTTGAGGCTGCATGTCCCTTACCCTCTGTCTGGACAGTGCTGATTGGCCCTGTGCTGATCACATGCACGCTCCCAAAAAAAAAAAACTCTCTAGCAATCAAACTGAGCATGTGCAGAGTGCCTCCTTAGGGCTCTGTAATATCAGCAGATGGATTGGGGACTGTGGAAGAAATGGAGGATCAGAGAAGGCATGATCAAACAGCCTTTTTACACAATGCAGAGGATTAACCCCTTAGGTTCCCACAGTGAGTATAACAAGAATTCTTTACTATATATACTGTATATATACAGACTGATTATACTGTTGTGAGTTTAGTAACACTGTAAGGTTGAGTTCAGCCAAAACACTTTAGCAGACCATTTAATGTAAGCAGGGACCATTTGGAAACTCGGGCACTACCTGAGGGCCCGGGGTCAGTAGGGGGCCCCATGAGATGCCCCTGGTACCTTTTTCATAGGCTTTTTTGAGTTTGGGCAAGGACACGGGCCCCATGATCCCCTATTGCTTGGGGGCCCCATGAGTTGTCAGTCCACCCCTGGATGTAAGATTTTTTGTACTCGATAAATATCAGAACTCATTGCTGGGTGCAGGTTTGTACATATTATACATCGCAAAGGAAAAGGTCTTAATAATGTGCTACATACAGAATTAAAGATTTGTTTTTTAAATTTAAAGGGATGCTTCATTCTATCCCATCCATGTTATCATGGCTGCATTGTGACCTTTGATACATTTTTAACCCTGGAGCTTACTTTTGTGGCTGTATAATTGAAATGTTTACCAGAGTCGCAATAGCAACTAAACAGTTACCAGGGTTTGCCCTAAAGGATATGCTCACCTTGGGAACATGTTACACGTTCCACTCATTTTTTAGAGTGGAATATGTAACATGTTCCCATAGCTGTAGCCATGCCCGCTGCCCCCCTCCCTCTGACAGATAATATGGGGAAAAGTTCCCCCGTACTATAATTAATTTTTTAAAACAGCGTGGCCATGCGAGGCTCCTCCCACACTGCCATGTCAATCATTCACGGACTTCTGTGCATGAATGAACTGCAAGTCCCGGAAGCCTTAGCAGCTGTGGGCTTGTAGTTTTCAATGAACTACCATGGCACTGTGGAGCGTTGTCGTAGTTCATTGAAGTTTCCTGTCATAATATCTCCTTGGCAATACATGCCGTACGGCAATCAGATATTCTGACAGGTCTGTAGGAGACATGCATGGCATCAGCCATCTACTGATCGCTGGCGCAATGCTTTCCAGATGTGCATTTATTATTTTTGTCCAAAAAGTGAACTTATCCTTTAAGACACTGCAGTTTTTTTTTATCTGCACACACACACATACTAGGGGTAATTCAAACAATAGCCAATTAACCTAGCAGCATTACAGTCACAATACTAAAATCATAGTAGTAAAACAAGAAAATGTTTGTAATGGCGGTGATCCTAGCAATGAAGTGGTGCTTTGGGCTTGATTGATGATGTGCCAGTGATAGAAATTTGGGATAAGGATGACAACCCTCAACATGTTCTTCCAAAAACTAATTAGCACTAGTAAAGCTTTTATATCTACCTTGACAGGTTCTCTTTATAGGTGTTGGACTGTACACATTTAAAAGGAATAGAAGGGCCTGGAAAAATACAAAAGGAAAATAAACATTAATTTTAAGTATCTGTGTTCATATTCAAATATCTATGAAAAGGAATGGTGACCCCTAAACTTAGGTCAGTTAAGCAGGCCTTAGACGAGTTGAACATCAAACGTTCTGTTGATCGAAAAATGAAAACGGTTCCTCATTTGTTTCGTTTTTTTGAAACAAAATCCAACTTGGTAGATCAGGCACTTTCAATAATGACACGAAAATTGTGTGTCGCAGCTGCAAACTAAAGATGCAAAAAACGAACGATTAAGAGTTTTTTGGGGGGTTTTGACTCGTCTATGGCCTGATTAAGTGTAGTTTTGTTATGCTTAATGGATTTTTTAAACTGTCTTAAAACTGTGTACCTGAGTTCTCATTTGCCTTTACTTGATGGACATTACTCTCGAGCTAAAGTTATAAAAAATGGATTTATGTATCTTGACAGGGCTTTTCGACTTTTTTTTTCCATTCGTTTACACCATTCATAAATGTTAAATACCATTAGGTATGCTGTAACACACTCTTCTGAGCACAGATGTTGCAGATCACAGCTTGTACATAGCCTCCAGGTAAAGTTATTAGACAAGCATTTGCAACATAGTAAACTACCTGCCTATTTTTATTGCCTATTTCTGCTAGGCAGTGTGTTGTGACTGTTATGGTCTGATGCCTCTGTTAAGGTATATCTAAATCCAAACTTTTTTGGGGGGGTTTTTAGCTATGGACGGAGTAGGGAAGGGTTACCACCCTGTATTTTTTTGTGTCCTCTGTGTTCCAACCTTGCAGAGACATCAGGAAGTGAGGGAAATCTCTACACATCTATGGAATTTCTCACTTAGATAGCAGTCATTACAAGTGCCCTCATTGAAAGATTTCCTCTCTATTATGTTTTGGTCATTGACCATTTGAATTTTCCTTTGACAATGGTCGCTTGAACAAAGAGATGGTGAATCTCCCCAGTAGGAACACAAACTGGAAAAATAAAAATACCTAACAGTGTTGATAACTTTTCCTCACTTTAGCGAAAACAAAAAAAAATGGCTTTACATTCACTTTAATTACTCCCATATTCTGTTACTGTATCAGTTATACTTGGTGCCCAGGGGCGTGTCTACTGCAAGACAAACAAGGCATTTGCCTTGGGTGGCACTTTTTCAGGGGGGCAGCACCACCCCTAGGCCAGCGGTGTATCATCCATGGGTGCATGCAGGGTGTTCACGGAACACGGGCCTCCAACATTCACTGCACCCTTGGATGTTACTGTCAGGCGCTACAGCTACAGCAGGGATTAAGTGTCCCCTCTGCTGGCCTGTCCCCTCCCGCACCGGCCCCGTCCTCTCCCGCCCCTTTAACTCAGTCGGATTCTCTTCCCGGCGACCTGCTGTTCCCTTCCCCAGGGCGAGTGCATGGTGATTTTGCTCTGTCCGGTAAGTAGTGTGTCCTGGGCCAAGGTGTCCTGCCCTGAGCCAGGCTCCCCCTCCCCCCACCTTTGACATCATTCCCTGAGTGTTTCAGCTGCAGCAGAACTTCTTGGACAGGAGGGGTGGGTCTCTGCTGGGTGTTATAGTGCAGGGCAGTGATTGGCAGCTGTGGGGTTCCCAAATCCCAAACACCCTCCCTTCCCCCTTCTTGCCTCTCTACCCTAAACAATAACCCCCCAAAACCTCTCCACTCTAAACAATTAACCCCTCCCCACCTCTCCACCCTAAACAATAACCCCCTCCCCACCTCTCTACTCTACACAATAACCTTCCCCCCTTCACCACCCTAAACAATAACCACCCTCCCCACCTCTCCACCATAAACCATAACTCCCCTCGCTGCCTGTGAACCCTAAAAATAACCCAGTCCCCACCTCTCCACCCTAAAAAATAACCCTGTCCCCACCACTCCACCCTAAATAATAACTCCCTCCCCACCTCTCCACCCTAAACAATGACCTCTCTGCCTGCATCTCCACCCTAAACAATAACCCCCCTCCCTGCCTGAGCACCCTAAAAATAACCCAGTCCCCACCACTCCACCCTAAAAAATAACCCTGTCTCCACCACGGCACCCTAAATAATAACTCCCTCCCCACCTCTCCACCCTAAACAATAACCCCTCTGCCTGCCTCTCCACCCTAAACAATAACCCCCTCCTCTGAAGAGGTGGAGCTCTAATAGAAAGAGGTGGAGCCTAAAGAGGAAAGGGTGGAGTTTACAGATGAAGGGGTAGATGTTTAACAGGAAGGGGTGGGGCAAGTTTAATTGGTGGGGCAATTTTAGTTTTGCCTAGGGCAGCACAAAACCAAAATACACCACTTCTGGTACCTACATTATACTAACAACATGTAGAGATCGGAAGCATGTCCCGTCACCATATCTGTCTCTCTTGCTTTGAAAGTCATTTTAATTTCATACTGTTGCTGTTCTCTGTTGTAGTCTTTTTTGCTGCATCAGTCTCTATCAGTGTTTTTATGTTTTGTGTCCATTTTCTATATCCTTTTTACCTGTAGTCTTCATTACTGTAAGGACAAAATTAGCTTTTTGGGAAATACAGTGCACCATTGAATTTTCCAAGCAGTCCCTATAAGCCATCCTTTTTGCACTCTACTCTGCCTTCCTTCTCCATTCCCTCTGCCTCCTTGTCTAAGCAAGGATAAGATCTCCTCTTTTGAAGCCTCTTGGGGGCATGTCTCAGGGGGCATCTACTCTAACATAGCAGCTGGAGGAGGACAGACCTGGAGGAGCAACATCAGGGAGCCGGCTGCCTGAATCAGGAAGAGACAGCCCAATCCAAGTATCAGAAAGGAGGATGAGAGTGCAGGACTTGCAGCACAGCAGTTGTGCCGCTAATTACACCAGGACAATGTATTTGCTGGATGTGTGAATATGTTGTTTTTTTTAGGAAAATCCAGTGGACAAGGTAAGAGTGGAAAGAAAAAAATGGAGGGGGAGGGGTTTTGAAGTTCCTCATTAATAATTAGAAGCTAAAAGAACCTGTTTTTTAAAGTGTTAATTGAAATGAGCATGGACCTAATTAACCACTTGACCCTCAGACCAGTGCTGACACTTCTCACATACATGTAAAAATCAACGCTTTTTTGCTAGAAAATTTCTTAGAACCCCAAAACATTATATATTTTTTGAAACCAGAGACCCCTGTAGAATAAAATTGTGGATTTTTTTTTTTGCAATTTTATATGTTGCACTATATTTGCACAGCC